GAAAAGAGACAAGCGCAAACTCACAACTCGATGTATTGATGGAAGAAAAAAGAACAGCCCTCGGTATCAGCTCGAGCCGAGGCCACACTCGCACGGGGGCACCCGAGCACGCGGAGGACACACACCATCAACCACACTCAAACGACTGTAGAAAGGCTATTTCCCTGTCGGTTAAAGCCACAGAAGGATGGCTGACACAACGCTCGCCTAAGCGGAGTATACTAAAAGCTTCAAAAATTTCGCAAGTGTGTTTTTCGGTGAATCTGCCAATTATCGAGGTCTTTTGTAAAGAAGGTGTACACTTGCACGCTTGACAATGCAGAGGTAGGTGACCCCCCACTGTTGAATTTAGAGAAAGATTGTGCTCCCTTAACCGGTCATTAATACACCGTCCTGTCTGTCCTACGTAGGATCTGCCACAGGAAAGGGGAATGCTATAAACCACTCTGGTAGAACAGGGCACGTAAGGGCGGACGTGTTTTGTGCGGCACCTGTGTTTTGTAATATTTTCTATTTTTGCTCGAACTTTAGAACAAATTTGACCCATTTTTTGGGGTGCTGACATCACTAAGGGGACTCCATACCTATTGGCTACCTGTTTGAAATTGTGAGATATTCTGTGTATATACGGAACCACCACCACTCTTTTTTTGTCGATATCACGTGCAGCTTTTTCGCATCCTTTTACTTTTTTTATCAGAGTTCCTACCACTTCAGTTAGCACCTGCGCTGGAAACCCAGACGCTGTAAGCCTCTCAATTTGAGCATTAAAACTGCTTTTGATGGTGTGGAGGCATGACTTCTTTAGGGCTGAAGTAAGGCAGGAAAGAGCTATGCCTCTCTTTACGACTTTTGAGTGCGAGGACGTATAGTGCAGTAAACCTTTTTTAGAACGGGGTGAAAATGACCAGCACAGGTGTTTTGTTTGCAAAGATAAGGAAAGGTCTAGAAATTGCAACACACCTTCCTTAGGAGTTTCACAGGTAAAAATAAGTCCTGAACCGCACTTGTGGAATATGTCCATGATGCTACTAATTACATTATTGTCCAATGTCTTTTGGTACACTAGCAGAAAATCGTCTACATACTTAAACACGTGAAGAACTGGCATAGACGCTATGGCCGTCTTAATGGCGCGGTCGACCCCCGCAAGAAAAATATCACTTAGGACCGGTGCAATGCAAGAGCCTATACAGACTCCCGACTTTTGCAAAAATACCCTGTTTTGCCACCCAATGAATGTCGAATTAAGATAGAAATGTAGCAGCTCAAGAAAACTTTCTATAGTTACACCACTTGAGTTTCGGAACGAGAGCTCACCATGGGACTCAATGCAGGACTTAACAGAGGCGAGTAGATGTTCGTGGGGAAGCGAGTAAAAAAGATCTTGAACGTCCACGCTGAAAACACTGTGATTGGACAGTTCATTTGACCTTAGTACTTCAACGACGGCTTCCGAATTGCAGACTCTAAAGGGATCCGTAATCTTCACACCCGAAAGGTGCTTTTGAAGATGTGCTGGTCATTTTCACCCCGTTCTAAAAAAGGTTTACTGCACTATACGTCCTCGCACTCAAAAGTCGTAAAAAGAGGCATAGCTCTTTCCTGCCTTACTTCAGCCCTAAAGAAGTCATGCCCCCACACCATCAAAAGCAGTTTTAATGCTCAAATTGAGAGGCTTACAGCGTCTGGGTTTCCAGCGCAGGTGCTAACTGAAGTGGTAGGAACTCTGATAAAAAAAGTAAAAGGATGAGAAAAAGCTGCACGTGATATCGACAAAAAAAGAGTGGTGGTGGTTCCGTATATACACAGAATATCTCACAATCTCAAACAGGTAGCCAATAGGTAAGGAGTCCCCTTAGTGATGTCAGCACCCCAAAAAATGGGTCAAATTTGTTCTGAAGTTCGAGCAAAAATAGAAAATATTACAAAACACAGGTGCCGCACAAAACACGTCCGCCCTTACGTGCCCTGTTCAACCAGAGTGGTTTATAGCATCCCCCTTTCCTGTGGCAGATCCTACGTAGGACAGACAGGACGGTGTATTAATGACCGGTTAAGGGAGCACAATCTTTCTCTAAATTCAACAGTGGGGGGTCACCTACCTCTGCATTGTCAAGCGTGCAAGTGTACACCTTCTTTACAAAAGACCTCGATAATTGGCAGATTCACCGAAAAACACACTCGCGAAATTTTTGAAGCTTTTAGTACACTCCGCTTAGGCGAGCGTTGTGTCAGCCATCCTTCTGTGGCTTTAACCGACAAGGAAATAGCCTTTCTACAGTCGTTTGAGTGTGGTTGATGGTGTGTGTCCTCCGCGTGCTCGGGTGCCCCTCTGCGAGTGTGGCCTCGGCTCGAGCTGATACCGAGGGCTGTTCTTTTTCCTTCCTTCAATACATCGAGTTGTGAGTTTGCGCTTGTCTCTTCTCTCTTCCCTCTTCTCTGTTCCTTTCTATTTGTGCGCAATTTTAACCATGTTCAATCATTACCAACTCGCCCAACTAACCACTTTACTACTGAAGCATAATCAAGTTTTGGGCGAACGTAAGTTTCGTAGGCTAGTTTACGGAGTTGAGGATGTGCTGCCTTGAGGTTACACTTAATGTATCCGAGGGTTCGAGAAGCATTAGCAATTACGTTAACGTGGGTGATCCATGAGAGGTTAGAAGTGAGGTGAACTCCCAGATATTTGTAAGAAGAAGCAACGCTAACAGGCGTGTTATCAAGAGAATAGGGGAATGAGGAAAGGGTTTTTTTTGCGAGTAAAATTAAGTAATTTGCACTTTGACGTGTTTAGGGGCATTAACCATTTGTCACACCAATTATGAATATTGTCGAGATCTCGCTGAAGGATTAGATGGTCATTTGGATGATTAATTTTTTGGTATAGCACACAGTAATGTGCAAACAAACGTATGTTAGAGGACAGCGAATTAGGAAGGTCGTTAATATAGATAAGAAACAGAAGAGGCCCTAAGACGGTGCCTTGAGGGACTCCCGAAGTTACGTTAGAAATGTCAGATCAAAAATCTCCACACAGCCAGTCTCACCTCTATGAAAGCATCTCTCCCATTGTCTAGCCTCTCTTCTCACAGAAAAATATATTTCACAACATTTATCACTATAACCTGACACTTTGTAGAACAGTATTTTTAGAAGCATTTTACATATCACGTATAGAGCACCAACAAAAGGTAGGCACCCCCCTCCCCCCCTTGCAGCACCTTTATTTAATTTTTTTTTTTTTCTTCCCCAGACATCAATTGACTGGAATCGCCTTCCCGCATCAATGGTTTGAATAACTAATGGTGCTGATTTTAAAGTTGTGATTACAATTTTTTAAAGTAATGTTCCTTAGTGATGCTTGTATTGACTATTCCTTCACTTCTTCATTGATATTAATGTATTTCTGCCTTGTTAGCGTTGTATTCTTGTATTTTGGAATACCCACTCCTCTCTGTAATGGCTCGGGCCCCGAGTAAATAAATAAAATAAATGAAATAAAACAAAACCTATATTCGGCACCCCTCATTTGTGCAGAAAATGGCTTAAGACGTACACTCGACCCAAACTGGAATATGATGTGGCCATTTGGAGCCCTTACCAAAATACTTATAAAATCATCTCAAAGCAGTTCAGAATCAAACTGCTTAGTCTATTTAAAAAAATATTATTGGTCAATTAGTGTATTTGCCCTCAAAAACAAACTGAACCTTCCTCTACTAAATGTGCGCTGCAAGATAGCGCACCTTTACCTCTTTCACAAAATTTACCACTAGCTTAGCTTAGTCATCCGCAATCTTCGCTCTGCTCCACAAATCTTGAAAGAGACAGCGTATCGCTCACTAGTTAGACCACATCTAGAATATGCGAGTGCCGTATGGGACCCGCACCAAAAATATCTCATAGATAAGATAGAAGGCATCCAAAATCGCGCTGTGAGGTTTATTCTGAATAAGTATTCTCGAGCAGAGAGTGTGACACAAATGAAAGTTTGTATGGGTATCGAGCCTTTAGAAAAAAGACGTAAGAAAAATAGACTTAAACTTATTTACGCTATCAACAATGATTTAACTGGAATCCACTATATATCGAGTAGGAGGGGCCACATAAAAAAAATATGCGAAATAAAATGTCGAACTAACTATATGATGTTTTCTTTTTTTCCGAGAACTATATCGGAATGGAATGAACTGCCGTCTGATATTGTATCAGCTAACAGTGACTCTTTTATTAGCCTTATTAATGCAATGTAAGTTTCTGTGTTAAGTACATCATTGGTTTTTTCGTAATATTCCTATTGTGTGCTGGTGTGAATCATGTTTATTGATGTTGTTGGAAATTGCTGATGTGTGCTGTTATGTGACTTTCCAATTTATAATGATATATGTGAATCATGTAACCCACTCCTCTGCTGTAATGCTCCGGCGCTGCAGAGAATAAATAAATAAATAATAAATAAATAAAAAACCTTCCTGCACTCCAAGACACTCGCCTTCTTCCCGCAGGCGATCCTCTTCGTGGCTAAATCACCCGTGTCACGTTTCCCGCATCTCAGGCAGCACAACCTATTTTTAACTCCCCTTTTTTCCCCATACTATTGTAGACTGGAACGACCTGCCCTCACATATTGTAACCAAGGCGGATCAGAAGACCTTTCGCAATGCCCATTGTTCACACTTCTGTTAAAGGGAAACTGAAGCATACTGTATTTTCTTTTTTCAACAAGATCAGTCTTTTCCCACTCGGGCAATGCTTGCAACTCGCGTCCGCTGGGATGCGTAGCCCATCAAACTTTCACAGCCCTTATCCAATTCACATTTCACTTGATTTCAGAAGCGCAGAACCTAGACGGGAAATGTATCATCATACTATCCGGCCATGAAATTCAAACAAGAAATAATTAAGGCAGTCAAAACATGCAAACACTACAAGCTAAGGAAAGTGGCGTAGCTGGTCACCGAAAGTCACCAAAAAGAGCAAGAGTGGCCGATACTTACAAACCAGAATACTTGTATGTAAGGAGGTAGGGAACATAAGCCAAGGCAACACAGTTCCCGAAGTGAAATAGTGTCATTTTCGTCTAAATTACTTCAAAAATTAGGTTTTACCGTGATCTTTTTTTTCTTCCTACCGAAACCCGCTCACGGAAGACGCCATGCATCTACCCCGCACCAAAGGTCAATGCCGCAGGTAAGGAGTATAATAATTTTGCTCCACAGTAGTTGCGTCCGATTTCATATAATATTATTATATTAAACTGTTAACATATTGATACTATAATGCAGCCGCATCTAAATAAATAAATACAATATAAAAGCAATACTGAATTAAAAAGCTACGTTGTTCCTGTGCGGAGGTTACAGACGGTGGTTGCAGAGGCGAAGGGCCGTGGTTGAGGACATTTGCCGTGATAGTTCTTTTCTTGGCACGATTTATGCGGAACGCAAGTTCGTCTGCTCTTTTTGCAGGGGCTCTGGTGACGCCGGAACGCCGAGATCTGATTGAAGGATAGTGGGTAGCCCTCAAAGCAAGTTGCCTTGAGGTCTACCCACTATCCCTCAATCAGAGCCAATCAGAGCTCGGTGTTCTGACGTCACCACAACCCCCTGCCAACGTTACTAGATTACCTCAGTTATGGAATAGTGGAACTCCCGCGGAAGGGGGGGATACCCCTTTCCACTTCAGTCTGCCTCCGGTCGTTCTATACTCTGTTTCATACTTAGTGTGCAACGCTGTCAAAGCTACTGGCGCGAGCATGGGGCTTGATCTCGTTGATCATTCGCACGTGTTCTCGTGCAAACAAAACCATAGATGAAGCCACGCTCTCGCGCTAGTATAGCTTTGACAGCGTTGCACCCTAAGTATGAAACAGAGTATAAGTTAGGCTCACCATATTTCTCAAGGTAGAAAACGGGACATCCCAGCCCGGGGGGCGGGGGGGGGGTGAGTGAGTGAGTGAGTGAGGGGGAGAAAGAAGGGGAGAGAGAGGGGAGGGGATGGGTATAGTAAAGGTTGAGATAGGGAGAACAAATTTACGGCCAGATTTGCGATTTCAAAGCGTTAACATATTTCATGCGTGCTGTATTCATTAACTAAAAAAAAAAAATATTTCTATTCACGAGTCTTGACAAAAATACGTTTGTGGGCAAGAACAGTTCTCCGAATTTTACTGGGTAAATGTTTTAAAGTACCTACTTTTTTTCTTCTTTTTTTTGTAAAATATATTTGTAACAAGTGGGCATAGTTTCCGCTTGCTTCAACTCGCTTTGTGCCAAGTTCGAAATTATGCACTCCTGCGAAAACGGGACATGATTCCTTATTGGGACAAAAAGACGGGACGGCCCAAACGGACCTCAAAAACGGGACTGTCCCGGCCAAAATGGGACGTCTGGTCACCCTAGTATAAGTGCCATCTAGATTTTTATTTACGAACTGTGTGTTCCATAAGGTATGGTGGAACGCCATCTAAACGCTGCACTTTGAAACGTACGTATCCCATAAAATTCATTGTAGTTACCAAATCAGCCTTCCGGCGCATCGAACGACGGGGTAAGTCGTGACTGAAGGGGGGCTCGTGCATGCAGCATCTATAAGCAGTTCCGTAACTGACCTAATCTAATAATGTTGCCCCCTGCAAAAGAAGCAGAGAACTTGCACTCCGCTATGGACCGTAAAAGTCGACGCCTGCACGTAGCTACCTAAACTTTTCCTCAAAAGTGTATTTCACAAGTCGTTTTTTTCTTGTAAAATTGCAAAGCGTAGCTTCCTTGCTGTAAAACATACGGCTAAGAAACTTGCCAGGGTCAACGGCGGGCGGCGGCGCAGACGACCAAGTCGAGTTGCAGTGTGTGTTTCGTGTGCGTATTGATAGATGGCGTCAGCAGCAGCATCCGAAGGTGAAGCCAACGTTACTAGATTACCTCAATTGTCAAACTCCCGCAGAAGGGGGTATGCCCCTCACACACTTCAGTACATCTTTCGTTGTTCAAAGTGCCATCTAGATTTTTGTTGACGAACTGTGTATTCCATAGAGTACGGTGGAATGCCATCTAGACACTGTGCTTCGAAACATACTTATTCCATAGATTGCACTACAGTTACCATAGCAGCCAATCGGCACATCGAATGACGGGGGGCGAGTTGTGGTGAGTGAGGGGGGGTACTGCTCGTGCATGCAGCGTCTATGAGCGATTCCGTAGCTGAGCTAATCTAATAACGTTGGGTGAAGCCGACCAGCGAAAGAAAGCAGACAAAATCCGTTGGCAACAAAAGCGCCGTCGTTATGCAAATGCATTTTTTTACTAAGTTTTGATTTTATTGTTTGCAATTATTTTTAAACCAAAGGTACATTACAAAAAGATTACGTTCATTTTAATAAACCACGATGGCCGCAAGCAGTCTCGATAAAGAGGTAGCGCCATCTACTTGACTTGGTCATCTGTATTGCCACCCGCGGTTGACCCTGGCAAGTTTCTTGGCTCTATCTTTTAGGCAGGGAGCTATGCTTTTTAATTTTAGAAGAAAAAACCGACCTGGGCAATACACCTTTGACAAAAAGCTTAGATTGCTATGTGCAGGCATCAATTTCTATGGTCCGTTTTTTATATGGAGCTTGGTGACTTGGGACACCCTATATATCCCCCGTGTTCACATTTAGACATGGGGGGGGGGGGGGGGGGCCTGGCCTGGCTAGGCTATTTTTTGCTCCCTCCCCTGTATGGTTCACATAAAATTTTAGACATGTCTGGGAAGGAGATTGCCTCCCCCATTTCTTGTTCCGACACCACCGCCTGTATTCTCTTGAGCTCAAACTGTTTAGCAAGCAAAATATGTTCTAGAACGAGAAATTTGTGCTTGTAGCCTTTGCTGCAGGCGAGCATTCACTGCAGACCACAGGCACGGAAAACATAACACCCATGCCATTGACAAAGCCAGGGGGGAAGCAGTCCTTCACTGAAACCCAGCAGACACCATAATATATACATGCATTTCCCCCACCCCCCGCTGAAGTAAAGTTCCTGGCTACGCCACTCCAAGTCTCTGACTCTCTCATTATGGGGTATGGGATATAGTGGTCCCGAACAGAATGGTCCAGGTCGAAATGGGCTTTCGTGAACTTTCCAACAGTGAACTCTCTTTACCCAGAAGTTTAATTCAGCACACATTTTATGTATATTTTGTAATCAAGCATTTCAAGATTTTTTGTAAACGATATGGAGAGCCTTCAGATTCTTGGGCTACTATGTGGCTCTGAGACAACCGGTATCTAGCAATACCTACCCAAAGCTCAGAAAATTAATATAAATATGCATAGCAATACTCACCTGATTGCTTAAAGTTCATGGTGGGTAGATGAACAACAATCTTCACATTTCGCAGTTTACCAAATAAGTGTTATGGAATTTGCATGTTACATCTTATATAGTTCAGTGGCCCACAGATATTAAGTACTAGAACTTCCGTAAAGGTGTGGTCCAACTGTGCGACACCTCGTGTCATGTTGGACGCCTGGACCAACATCACCACAAAGGCCAATGTCAATTTTGAGCTATGCCTCGGGTCTATATTCCCTAGGGCCAGCCAAACTTCAGCTGAACAGATCAATTTGCAAGTTGAATTTACAAAAAGCAGCATGTACAGCAAAAGGCTTGTGCAGCTATGTACAATATAATATTTGCGCCACAAATAGTCCAATTTGTATAGTTGTTTCTCTATCCCTGCTCGACCCAACCATCGGCCTGAAATGTTTTAAATTGAATACCGTAAAATTCCCCAGAAGAGCCCACTATTAATATTTCCCAAACTTAGGAATCTAGATTAACCGTTTTCAGTGAAACTTGGGTGGCCATTCCCCCGGTATTTTACAGTAAATGAACTTTAAAATGGTCCATGTTTTGCAGCCGAAGTATTTGGCAAAACAATTTCTTTTCCTAATGTTCCATTGACATGAAGTAAACAGTAGATAAACACCCCAAGACCAAGCAAACAATTCTGCGATATGATATTCAATAGACCATGCCTCAACCAGCCAATGCATGCTTGCATGTGTGACAACTCCGCTGTGGGTCTGTACGAGCGGACTTCTCCAGGTTCACGCTTGGGACCATTCTGTCCAAATCTCACTCAAGTGCCCATCAGTCAACAAGGGACATTTAGTGTGGTTCTAGTACTGAAGGTACAGAACTGCCCGCCGCTTGCCAGGGTATTCACATGATACAACAGGGACACAGAAGTGCTGCAGATGACTCATAGCTTTGGCTTTCAGTCAAACTCGCAGGTAGCACTGTGAGCTAAATAAGCATGATTATACACTGCGATACAAGTCTTAATGTGTCTATGTATGTTATGTAGAATTTGATCGTTTACAAGGTTCCAGATTCTGCACATGTAAGGTCCAATTATTCACATGTATTGCCCTTCCTACTTTTTCTGAAACGCCCGATATAATGGCAGACACAAAGACTAAGCTTACATATGCTACAATTCCCATATAATCTAATTCGTATAGTTCTCTCTCCATGCAGCATTTTCTGTTCTCAAAAATGGTTGACTAGGGTTGTTGGCTTTACCAATGCAAAGGACTGTACTGTGACAAACAGTTTTCAGAAGCAGACACTCACACTTCAGTGCTCTTGGACCAGCATATTATAGTACCCTGTTTTAGCAATATCAGCAATTGCAATTATGTCAAACAATATAACCCAGAGACGAGTGGGTTAAAATGCAAGACTGCATTTTTTAGTGTTTTTTCTATTATATATATCAGAATTAAGAGAAACATGTGTACCTGGTAAATATGAAGACCTACAGAATAGAAATGAAAAGGCACGCCCAGCAATACACAATATGTGCTGGAGCATCAAGCACTCTATACTGATTATCGTGATAATGTTCAAGCCTTTCAGGTTAATTTGAACCAAACTACGAAGATTGGAGAGTTCATAGAGAGCATTTCCAAGTGAAGTGACAACTCAAATATTCTATCGATTGTAGGGGGACTAGTGTCAAGTCGGTTTTTGCAAACTGTGAATCCACACCACTTCCCTTGACACACCCATAATACCATTCAATAAAATAACCTGGACATTGCCACATGACCTTCTCTGGTGTTGCAACACCCGTCGCATACACCTGTGCTTTTTCTGATATGAACACAGTAAGCAGGCAGAATACAAGACCAGAAGTATCACTTTATTCAGCTAACACCCCTTTACAGTCAAAATACTGCATCTGTAAACTCTTCCAATAGATTGTATGTTGAAGCATGTCAAGTTGCACTAATCCACTTTTATATATAGTCCCAAACAAACCTCCCGTCTGTCGCAGTGACAACCTCATTAGGTACACCTCTCGTGAACAACCAAAGCCTCCTGTACTGCCAGAAAGATACAAATTTACAGACTATCAAACTTCAAAGATCTTAAAACGAGTCAACATATTCTGCCATGATTGTACACAAAACAATTACAAACCAGGCATTAAGGCTGCACTCCTAGGTTAGGGGTCTGAGTTGTTAAGTTTGTACACAAACACATTTCTCATTGCAGACATTCACACTGTGCGCCGGATGAAAGTGGGCCGTGGCAACGTTCCTTCTTCCGATGCAAGACCCGGTGGCACACTGCAGCTCTAGTCATTTCAATTGCAAGCGATGGATGAGGAAGCATTCATTGCACACGATTCTGCCGTCACAAGGAATAGCACAGTGAAAGGCAACCGAGAACGTGGCTTGTTCCTTCCTCTTCTTTCGCGATGGATGGACATCACGACTGAACGCACTGCACCGAGTGCTGAGTGTCCATGTCGTCGTCGTCGTCGTTGTCACTGTTTTCGTCGCTGTCTGAACTGGTCTCTACTCCACCTGATCTGTCGTTCCGCGCCTTAAATGTTCAAAAACAACACATTACAATGCTGAAAAAAGAAAATTACGGACACAAATTGTAGCAACTTAGAAGTGGCACAATGGGTCTTGAACGCATTATCAGAGGCGAGGCAGAAAAGGAACACCAATGCAGGTTCTAGGACTTTTTCTATAGTTGCCATCAAATGCTTAGCTCGCCTTTAAAGGGTGGTTTCTCAACAGTGGCGTACCAACTTGAATTTGAGTGGGAAAGCAAACCAGACCCCCCCCCTTTCCCCGGGCCGAGGGGCGGTGCCCTTGGCATCCCTTGGGCGCCACCGGCCAGTGTTTGTCCTGCCCAGTGGTGGCTGTTTCAGAAGGAGCAAAACACATGCCTTGCCCCCCCACTCTGAGAATGGGGGGGGCAAGCACCCCCCTTGCCCCCCTTGCCCCCCCGGTTGGTACGCCCATGTTTCTCAAAACGCCTTTTTGCTTCTGCGAAGAGGTGTTTCGAAAGAAAGTGTTCACCAGTATGGCTGCGACCGTGCTGGTGAATGTTTTCCGCCATTTGCCTTGTTCGTTTTCACGTAAGCGATTCTTCATTAACACGGTCTTGGTCTTGGCAAAATGCCATGACAAGTAGCTCCGCCAACAACAGAATGTTCGACGTGTGATCAAGATGCATTTGGGTCGCGTGAACCCGTGCTTACTTAATTTATTTTTTCCCCTTCGAAGCCACCCGCAGCAAGCGCGGGGCCATCTTGGCTGCCAACGAGCCGGCTTCTTGAGTGTTGGCTTGTCTTAACCTCGAATTAAAGCCAATATGCATAAAAATACTAGAGCGGCAGCCGATTAGAACACTGCTGATTAGAGTGTAATCAATTAGAATGCAAAATAACTCGAGTGAGTTGGTACTAAACACTACCTCCATGCACAGAAAAGCAACGGGCCAACATTCATCAACATAGATTCCACCGAGATCATAAGCCAGAAGTAGTACGTCACACGAAACCCCACTATTCCGTTCCGCATGTGAGCGACAGTTCAAAGAGCTAGCAGATAGCTTTAAAAAAATGTTTTACTGTGGGCACACGCTCGCGTGGCAGTAGCTCCTTAAGCTCCATTTCACTTAAAATGTAGCGGTAGTGTCAAGGGTAGAGGCAAGCACTTGTAGCTCCATCCAGTTTTCTCGCTCTCATAGCCGAAACCCATTCTAAAGCAAGATGGTCCTGCTACGAGCTTGGGTCTACTACTACTACTACTACTACCACTGTAAGGAGAAACGAGGCACGAGAACCTACGACCCTGCACTAGCAGCTTCCCCAAAATAGCTAACAAAGTATACACTGCGGGACAAGCCAGCCTCATTTTCAGCACTGAAATGGTCAAAAAAGATTTACGAGAGTTAAGCTATCCAGCCAACATGAAATATAGTAGCCCGACACATTTGGCACAAATGTTAAACTTTCAATTCCCTGCATCTAATCAGGTGGCAGGCAACAGTCATGAAGTTCTAACATGTTGGAAAGTCCCTACAAAATATGAAGGTCAAAATTGGTAGCAAGAACTTGAACAGAAACTGCCTGGAAGCCTTAGAGCTCTGAAACTAAGATGCTTCCAGAATGAGACCTAGCTCTGAAGAAGCTGCCTTCAGCCAAATGTCAGCAGCCCCTTTATGGTTAACAGGAGGGTCCTTTTCAAGTAACAAGTTGGGATGTTAGCATGCTCAACAAGAATCAGGTTTTCTAATGCTTTAAAAATTTTCTCCCTGTATCCCCATTGTAATCTAACAAGTTACAGGTCAGAAGGCGTTTCCAAGGTCCTTTTATTAGTGCCCATTTCAGCACTCATGCTTAATTATTGGATGACTTCCCATAAATACCAGTGATGCCTGTAGGCAGTGCCTTTTCTCAGGCATATATAGCTTTCAGTACTGTGACTGGCCTAAGCCATTTTGGAGCACCTTTTGGAGCATCCAAAACAGTGCTTTGGAGCAGCAAAAGTGACTTTTGGAGCAGCCAAGACAGTGTTTCGGAGCAGCAAAAGTGGGCTTTGGAGCAGATATTCTTTAAAAAAATTAAAATATTTGTTTTAAGCGCTGTAAAAACGAAGAGCACTTTGTGCTGTGTTGTGTTCTGATGTGACGTGTTGTGAGAAAACTTGCTGCTTGTGTTTTTACTGTTCTGGTTTCCGACGTGCCAGATTTTCATCAAAAGTAAGCAAACGCAAAACAAGGGATTGCCAACATCGCGGCTGGTGCCTCTGTCGAGCAATCATGTTCATAAGCACGTGAGGATAACTTCGGCAGGCTTGCAGTTGCGCGTGCTTCGTCGCACGGGCGGAGACAACGGCTATTCTATAAAAACCAAAACCACGCTACTCCGCACCGTCGCCAACTGATTCCCAAAATTGTATGCAAAATGTAACTGTCGAGCATACGACAAATAAAAAACCAGCGGCGCGTGCTTGGCAGGCCAGCAAGCAAGGCACAAGCTAAACACACACATGCAAGGGTGCGTGCGTGCGTGCACGCGCACGTGCGCGTGCACGCGCACGTGCGCACACACACGCACGCACGCACAGACAGACAGAAAGAGAGAGCCTGAGCGCATCGATGCAGGATATTGCGAGCCAGGGCCAAAAGGCTCTGGGAGCGATTTGTGCAACGACTGAACTCGAAACAAACAAGCACGCTGTGCGGGTTCAGTGCGTAGGCAATGTCCTTTGCTTTAGCTCACTTCTCTTTAACTTTGTTTTGCGGCAATTTTTCACGTACCGGGGTCCCTCTCGAAGGAAGGCCCACCCAGAAAAAACCTACTAGGTAATACATACCTCGACACAGCAGCCTTTAAGTTAAAGAGGTATTTTTGTAGTAATGTATGATTTAAACAAGAACAGGAATGTTGATGAACACGCGGCGGTACTCCGTTTCATTTTAGAAAGCGCCATATCTGCAGCGTGACGTGGGGACGGCAACACCCGACATCGCGCAACCACGGAGACTGAAAGGCAGGGACCAAATATAGTTTTCCCACGGCCATCGCTTTCAGGCGTGAGTACTTCAGCTCAGAAAGTAACTCCTGCTGCGCAGAAACGTTGTTTCGTTTCACAGCATCACGGCATGGCTGGTACCTGGCATGCTAGCGTAGGAGCGTCCGCACACACCCGCGTCTATCGTTGACAATGGGATGCCTTTTTCGGAGGTCGATACGGGGCAGAGCGAAGTAGCAGAGTAGTAGTTTGATGTCTGTGACGTCACGTCCAGTTTTAGCCAAAATAGAGCTATTTGCAGATATTTTGTTACCTAGACATCTTCACCTCTTCACTTCGCGTACTCTTCCGGAGTATGCTCCCAGCTCGTTCCTCCGAAGTCAACACAACTGTCATAGTTAGAAAAAAAACGGCCCGTGCCAGTCGTTTGCAAAGCAACGTAGATAGAAACGAATCGCCGCGGCGTTTTTCGCGGCCTTGGAGATGCAGAAACGATCCGACGTTAAATAAGATACATTTCAACTACGAGAGTGTCAGCAAGAGCAATGTAAATACCTGTGCACACTCAAAGCGGATGCGCACGTTTGATCGAAGTGCTTCGGGACCGATCTTTTACCAGTGTCAGTCGATACTGACCCGACACTCGGCAAAGAAAGGTGGGACCGGCATTGCGTAGCTCCCACAAACTGTTATAGCTCGACAGTAATGTAGTATCAGAAACAATTGAGCATGAACGCGCATCCGCAGCGACAAGCGTATCAGAATAAAAATGGCCCACTAATAACAAAGTGTACTACATACCGTGTTGCGAAAATAATCCATACGGCATTTATTTGAGCTCCATATCACACAAAACAAGGAGATAGAATCGACGACAGCGTTCGTCACCGCTGCCTCGGAAAAGGAGATGGCAAGGGGAAGAGAATGACCCCTTAATCTAAAACTAAGGGTCGTGCGGGCGCGTATTCTGTTCAGCAAGCCAGCCGGTCGGTCGTGGGCAGACGGTCTTGGCCAAGGATCGTTGGAGCAACGCCGGCAACGCTGCGACGAGTCGGAGTGCCTGCTAGGCCTCGAGCTCGCTCGGTCGGTGGCATCGTTGCCGTTGTACCTTTTCCCGGGTGTTTGTGGATCCAGCGTTCATGTCCGTCGTGGCCGGTTTCGAGTACTTCCTTCTTTTTTCTTGCTGCTTGAAATTGGGACCCGCGAGAAGAGCACGTAGAAAAATAAATGTCCGTTGGTCGTCGCGACCAAGTAACTGAGCGGACGTTGTCGGTTATGTTGATTTGATCGTGAAAAGATGGCTCCGGAGCTGTTGTCGTACATACATTCTTGGCGTAAGATTGTTTCGTGTATCTGGCCTCTGTTCTTTAACGTATGGCACTGCAACAGTAACACGCCGCGACCGCTGCCTCCCCCCGCCCCTACACTAGACACAACAACCTGCAGCAAGCTCTCCGCAAAACGTAAAAAAAAAGAAAAAGAAACTTTTTTGCTTGTTTTTACGTTTCCGGCAGTGACGTCACGGAAGTCACTGCCCCGTATCGACTTTCAAAAAAAGCATCCCGTTGAAAATTAAAAAAAAAAAAGACGCGAGGAGACGAGACCCACGAGAGGTTGAGGGCGCGAAACACGAGACGGCGGGAAAACCATGCAAGACCGGATGGACAATCGATGCAGGGCATTTTGTGTCCGGTGGCCACTTGCGCTACGTAGCACACACATGCTCAATTACGGTACTCAGTTTAGTTTCGGTTTTGAAAGGCGACCGAAATTGTTTTTTTGGCGCAGGCTTGGCGCAGATTACCCATATTTTGGCAAAATGTAGCAGGATGTAGCAAGGTTAGCCCCTTGGCGCAATTGGCGCAGCAATCACATCACTGAGATTTTTATGCTGGTTTACATGGATAAATCTGTGAAAAGTCAACTGCTTGGTCCAAATTTTTATATCATATAGTTAAAAAATGCAGAGCGTGTACAACCGCGTCGTGCATTATGGGAAACGTCTCATGATGCAACGTGCGGGGAGGAGAAAAAAGAGAAGGGAAAAGGAGGGAAGGAGGAGATGCCAGCTACCTGTTGTGCAGGCAATAAATATCACCATTCATAAATCACAGAGAGGCGCGTATGAAAACGTGGTGTACTCGTTATCCAAGTAGCAATCTACAAGAGAGAGGGTCTGTGTTGTAGCCATCGGTCTCTGTGGCACGTCGGACGAAGTTGGTAAATTGTGTGCCGCCAAGGTCTTACGGCCTGCTCATGGCAGCTCTGTATCTCTCGCCTACGGCACTCGCCAAATATTTCGTGCAAGACAAAGAAGAACTTCATACCAGTCATGCAGGAAAACATCCCATTGGCCCCGAGGGACGTGCACTCGCTGTTCTGCTGTGCCATCTCGGGGGAGCACGCTCAAGACTAATGCTGAGGAAATCAAAAACGTCGAGCAGTCTTCGACAGAGCCGACAGCAAGTAGGATGACATCGAGAGTATCACGTGCTTCGTCAAAGTGTTAACTTTAATCCTGTCTTGTTCTCCCGCCTTGATCCTGCTGTCCTGTTTCCTGGCACCGGCAAAACTTGTACAGAGTGGAGCTCCCAGATGTGAGAACTACATTTCCTTTCTCCGGACAAGTGGTGAGCAAGAATACCAGAATATATATAGTATATACATTTTTCTCAGATTGTTTCGCACGGTATATTGCAAAATCGAAATACTTCGAGAGAAAAGCAGGAGGAGAGGAGGAGGAGCAGAGGACGAGGGAAGGAGCATGGGAGGAGGAAAGAATATGGATGAGGAGGAGTGGCATACCCTCCCCTCCTCCTCCTCCTCCTCAAGAGCTGCACTCTAATTCGGTGTTACAAGAAGTTGTAAACATCCTTTTTACTTTTTTCTCTTTCTAATACAATTTTTTTTCTCATCTTGCTATATCTGAGTGAAAATGTCCCAAAAGTACATTTAAACAATAATTCAGCTTTGTTTCGGGCATTTTGGTCATGTAAAAAGACAATATAGAATTCAATCTATCCCAAGACGTTGCTGGGAATGCGATATGGGAACTTGTCTGCCGCCATTTTCTCGTCACATGTGTCAAGAACCATCCTTAGCGAATGTTCGTGTCATGGTTTCCAAGAACGGACGACGTCCGAGAGAAGTTTTACGAGCAGCCATACTCAGGGACAACTTTTCTTGGTATTTCTGAGATGAAGGAGAGCGTACACTCAACTTTAGGTATGGGGAGGACATGGGGCCCAATGCCAAAATACGGACGATGTGGGGCGGCTGCTGATGTTGAATCAGGCAGGCGCCCATCAACAATAACTGGGCGGACGCAATCAAGAAAAGCGACATGGACATTGTGTACGTGCCAGCCGGCTGTACCAGCCTGCTTCAACCGGCCAAGGTGTTTTGGAATAAGCCTTTCAAAGCCAATCTTCGAAGGATCTGGAAGGAATTTATGCACAAGGAAGAGAAAACCTTTAAAGGCAACCTGCGAGAGCAGTCATGACAGGACGAACTATAGACTTCGCAGTCGAGGAGTGGAAGAAGAAATGGCGACACGTTCCTTTGGAGGTTGCAGCATCTCCAAACGTGCTCCACGGATCCGAGGAAAGTGACCTGCACAAGCGGCTAGCAGGCATCGGTGCCGTTGTCTCCCATGTCCCTGACAATCCGATGGCAAAGTGTCTGGACCTCATTTTTGGATTGGATTCCGAGGAATCGTTTTCCGGCCTTGGCAGCGATTAAGGCGAATGCCAAAACCACCAATCTGAATCAAGTTCCGAGGGCACATTTTGTGAATTGAATGGCAAGTGCAGTGTTAGTAAATGATCTTTTTTTCTTTTTTAAACGGTGCAGATTGGATTGTTCTTTTTTACTTTTACCAGTCACCGTTTTGAATTTCGGCCCTGATCGATCAAAGGCCCACTTGACATTTTGGTTGAATTATCTCTAAATATAAGGAGGAGGAGGGGGAGGGGTGCTCGGTATTTTACAGTACACCATACTGCAGCACTCCAGCTGCTAAACTGTAGGTTAACAACATAAATCATAAAAACCATGGAAGTTTTATGCAATCTAAAATGAGCAGGAACGATGCCGAACGTGACAATTAGGTTAGACACAAAAGCGAGGTTCTTGTTTTCTTGCGAGTCACATATCACTAGATGATAGCTTGCTACTGCCTACTTGCTATCTCTGAGCTATCTCTCAAAGGCTGAAAACCTGGGTGGGGGTTCAACTTCACAAGACGACCTGACATGAAGCTTCTTCGGGTTTTGAGGCTGGTTCACACGGCTGCATTCGAGTGTGATTGAGTGTGTTGCGCTTGCTCGTAGCCGATTATACAACGAGAGATCATACTGGCACCATCTAACAGGCGTCGCCAGAATGCTTCCAATCTACGTGTAACAAGACTGAAGGATTCCAAGTGGTACAGTCGCCACCGACTTTTCAGATTTCGCAGGGACCGAAAAATGTCTGAATAATACAGTCAGAAAAATCAGCAGATTAAAAAACTTGCCTTTATTACGCCTAAGCGGGCTCTAAAAAGCCGTAAATAGTGCCTTGCTTCAGGTTACGCCTGCGCGCCCAGTTTTAGGTTACGCCTCCGTTTGCGTTCGGCAACTTTTTATTAGCTTGAAAATCGCTGCCTTCTTTTCTAGCATTATGGTCGAGCACTTTCTGCACCTCTTAGCGACACATCGCGGTGCGGAAGAACAGATAGGGCAATGACGTCCAAGCCAGCAGAGTCCGAAAACACGATTCACAAAGTCGAGATGAGAGGCGCAATTCTACGACAGTAATGGCGAATGAACAAAGCAAAATGGAAACAACAATGATGATGATAATGACGCGCAGCTAGAGAGAAGAAAAAGCCGTACAGCGTCACCTAGCAGTAGGACTTAGAAGTATTTTAAGTAGCACTGCCAAAGGAAGCCAATCCATGCGCAGTCAACGTAAAATCCAAAATGACCGCCTCCCCGCTGATCGCTCGTGATGATTAGTAAAAAAAATAGAACTTTCGGACTTCAAGCTGTCTGAAACATTGGCTGTGAATATGCACTATTTCTATTGGGCAGGTCACGATCCTCCTTTAGGTCCGAGAACAAGTCCAAATTATCGGTGTCCAAGAAATCGGTTGGCGACCGTATTTGCAAGATCAAATCTATGAGAAACGGTCGCTCACAACTATAGGCTGTGCACTTTCTGGTTTTAACTGAAAAACATCGTCAAACATTTGACGGTAACAAAAATCGGCTAAAACCGAAAAAAAAAAAAGAACAGTGGTTGAATATTTTCGCCTCGATTAAAACTGGAAAAAAAAAAATGGTTGTTAAACGTTTCTGCCCTAGCGATGAAGGAAACCCGCCACCTCTACAGTATAACGCAGATTCCGTTGATCTTTTATCAAGTTTCGATAATGCAAACTGAATAAAGAAACAAAATGAAGCTGTGGGTCGTCGTTGTGATTCTGAGACTCAAGTTAAATGTTGCGGTTGCAAAAAAACGAAAACACCTTCAACATTTGACGTGCCCATCGAGCTCCGTCAAAATAATAAACCTTAACTACTTTCGCTGTGGCAGCCCTCCTGGACTAAGGAAGTACAGAGCCTCATTTGGTTTTCACTTTTTATGACTTTTCTTAGACGAGTCGACCAACCGAAATACGCTGGTGCTTAAAAATGAATAAACGGCGAAAAACGCGCGCCGATTTTTCTCATTAATAAACACCGGAAAATACACACCCTATTTACAACATTGCCAGAGTTATTTCAGGCCCACGGTAAAAGAATATTGCATAAAAACATTGGAAATATATGCGCGGGTCAGAGGTGTTTCAAGTGCCACTCCGTAAATGGCGCCGGTGTCCCAGCGTGCTCTCTGGACGTAAGCAGTTGCAAGCGAGCGCTACCCACCTTTTCACACACAAATAAAGATGTATGAACCAGCCTTTAGGCACTTGTCGGTTTCACACGGGACCCCAAAATAAAGAGAACGGCAAGTCTGCATACCCGTGCCCGAGCTGAGCGGTGCAGTTGCTGCATGAGATACCAGAGCATTTGGCTGTCGATGGTCTCATGTCCTTCACGTTTGCGTTCGTCCTCCCGCTCTTTCATGTTCTGGCAAATCCTCTGCAAGAGAGCACCGGAGGCGATGAGCTTTTCCCCAAGCAATGTTCCGAGTCACTGACACAATGCCTTTTGAGAGAAACCCAATCCAAGGAGATATTCCTTTCAACCAAACTTCTCTCTCAGCCAAGCAAAGCTTCGGTAAGCTGCACTACATACTCCGTCGAGACTCTCTTGGATATGGTTGTTGCTAGCAAATGTCGGCAAAACTATACGAAAGAAAACCCTAAAACACTTTTCCACACAAAGCATAAAATGATTATAACTGAAGTACAGTCACGTCGTGATCTTAGCGTAGTATAACTCATTGATAGATTCTGGGTTACTACGTTTTCAAAGGGCGCCTCAATTATCCTTCTGTTTAGGGTGATGCCACCCTTTGTAGTACCCGATGCCAGCAGCGCACGCTCACTGGAAAAATACAAAGAAATCGACGAAAACAAAATGTCGTCATAGCGCAGTCAACGCCACAAACGCATGCAGGAACATGCTCTTTCACGCGCTTCTTAACAAAAAATAAAAATAAATGTGTGGAACAAAATGGCCAGATGCCACCACCCTAAGCAAAGCACACATGAAGGCACCCTAATGTTTTTCTACTGTACGTGCAGACAGCAGGACCGGGCGACAAAAGAGGGACGGTTGATTGGACTGGCAAGTGTGCATCGTCCACCGCACTGTCGACTTTGAGGTGAACAGCAGCAGTTGCCGATGTGGCAGGCAGCATCCGAGTTAGCTCGATGGACTTGGAAATTTTGCTCTCTCATATAGGTAGACATTCTATAATTGGGACAATAAACTTACTCCTAATTTTAAATAACAGTTCCCAAGAAAAAAAAAAACTTTCAACCTTTCCACTCTGGTGAAGGAGAAAAACCAGCGAAGCTGTACTTATGGTGGGGATGAAATAATGGCCGGCCGCAAGTCAGCAAGCCAGAGTGGAAAGGCCTGGAGAGGTTGCCGCCATCTATGAGCGACAGCGGCAACCAGACAAGTGGCAAGTTAGTTGTCTGGTTGCCACCGTCACTCATAGATGGCGGTAGCTGTCCAGAGTTTAGAGTCATCATTTGTTTGCCGCCAGACTTGATACTGGGGAAACTAGCCCTTAACAGCTCCGCAGTAAAAGTCAAAATGAGCAAAAGCTTGGTCGGCCTTTCTAGGAGTTTGTCCGTCGCCTATATAGACTTAAGCGCGAGTCTGCCAACTAAGTCCGTGTCTTCTCTTTCAAAAGGAAGCAAAGCAGAACCCACCATCTTTAGGCCAGACATGTCTGGCGGGTATTCGCACGAAGGCACCCAAATTTTGACATCTTCGTCCAGCCCACTGGTAGCCAGGATGGGGCAGCTGGGGTGAGGTTCGAGGCAGTTCACCTGAAAGCAAGCTCCAGTCATGAGTGCCCAGTTCAACAAGCTGAACCCGACTTTGAGACTCCGTCTAGTAAGTGGCAACGACGAACTATGGGCAAAGTGACTATCGATGCTTAAACCTCAATACAACAAAGTCGAAAAAATTAATGATTTATGCTTCATTACACCGAAATTTCATTCAATCAAAAGTTTGTGCTCACCGTAAAAAAACAACAAAAAAACGTATGTTGATGCATGTTTTGCGGGTGTAAACACTTGCTGGAAATAATATTCATTGGTGAGGAAAGTAGTACTTGACTCTCCAATGAAATAATATTCGTTGGTGAGGAAAGTAGTACTTGACTCTTGTTTGTGCCTTGTTGGATTGGGATAGTAGCATTGGCATCACATTCTATCCTAGAGCCACAGGGCATGTAGAGGATACCGTTTTCCCCCGCACGGCTTTAACACGTTGATCGCACCGAGAAAGTTGTCGCGGATGCTCTTCGTGGTCAGCCTCGTACACTTCGTTCTCCACTCGTGATTTTTCTATCACATCCTTCACAATGGGGTTGCCTCTGCTGTTGTTGAAAATGCCAGCAGGGGTCAACATGGAGGCGATATAGACTCCTTCACTTCTGCAATTGTAGGAAACGAACTACGAAGTGTCCCATGTATCCACACAGAGCGGCAACGTCTGGTGTCCTCAACCGTCAGAGACTCCTCGCAGTAATTTTGCCTCCTCGTCAAGTGAAAAATCTTTCTGTTGCCGCTGTCTATGATTGAGGTAGCCACAAAGCGCATGCACGAACTCGTCTTGTTGACGCTCGCCCAAATGGCATTGTCTGTGACTGTGACAGATGGTTGCACCAGTGGCACTGGCAATGTGTGAACTCTTTGCTCCGTGTTTTCCGACCAAACGTACGGCACATCCTGGACGTGCCCTCCCGCAAGCCTCGCCGCACAATGCCCCGTTTGACATTGTGCGCCTTGTTGGAAAGCCCAACCCCGTGAAGTAACCCTCGTCCCCATGAAGTAACCCTGTCAAACGCGGCCACTGTAAATTTCTCCGCAGTAGTGCGATTCAACCGCAAGGTACTCCTTTGCAGGCATTGTTTTCTTCTATACACCAACTCATGTTTACAAACAAACCGGAGCGCCCGGAGCGCCCCTAGCGGACGCCACCGGCGCCGCGCATGCGCGATGGGGGTGTGGGCAAAAAGCTCGCCGTCGCCCATAAACAAACCATTGAAATGCGATGTTGTCGGCACCGGTGCGAGTCCCCGCGCTCTTTTTCGCGTTGGAACTGTTGATTCTACGTCCTCCTAACGATGTCTGACTACTTGAGCAGCGTCAGCGAAATTAACGAAGCTCGTTACACCGCAAAACTTCGCGTGAATAATCTGGCAGGCGGCGATTCATTCCGCGCGGACGCCGCAGAACGTACGCTAAAGCCTCATTCACATGATGAGATTTCGCTCGCTATTTTCAGTAGCGACATCGCTCGGACTGCAAAAGCGTGAACCGTAGCTGAGATGGTCGACGTCGATACTGAAAATCGCAAGCAGTATCTAACCAAATGAATCAGGCATAACAAGTCGGTGATGGCCACTGGTAACAATGATCAACAACTCCTTGTATCTACTGTTTACGTCGAGCCTGCTTACCAACCTTCAAACTTAAGTCTTTTAAGGCCTGCACTTAATTCTTATCGCAAGTACCGGGCCCACGTTTCGCCTACGGGCCGGTGTCCTCTAAAAGAGCAGACGACAAGCAGAAACGTTTGCAAGAGCAGACGACAGTTCGAACGATCAGGCGACCGTTTGTACTTGAAGACGCACTAAACGTAGTCCGCAGGTGGTCCGTACAACTTGACGGTTTTCCGGCGTTCATTTTGGAACCAAACAAATAAATTTGATGGCCAGTAGTATCCGTGAATTTAACCCAAAATGCTTCCCGCCCAAGCAATCGTTGTCCGACGGCGTCTGGTTTTCCCTTTTCACGGCACATATCCGCGTTCTCGGACGAACCGAGCGCATGAAAACTGACCTTCAAACCTTTCTCGACTCTCTTGGTACAGCCCCAGTCGCAGCATTTTGACGACAAGGCAGGTTTTTGTCTGGTTCCTCTCAAAACAACGCAGGAATACACGTCTCGAATGGGCACTTCCGCCCACAGCCCCAGACCGGAAGTGCGTCCGACGCGCCACCACCGCGCCGTGACGTAACAGAGATGAGTTGGTGTATAACACTGGGGATTTGTTCTATTGAAACCGCAGCAAAACTGACTGATATTGAGGCTCAATGGGGTTACACGAAAAAGATGATTTTGAAAAAAGAAATACTTTGCAAACTTGAAGCTTCCATTAAACTGAGGTTTGTTACACAGACGCTCAACTGTACAACAATCGATAGTATAGTAGTGTCTGTTAACAGTAGGCTAACCAAAACTGGTCAGAAAGCTACTAAAATCGTTGGTAGATGCAAGAAGTATAATGAATTTGTTTTAAGCGTTAGCTAACACAGTGGTTCTTAAATGGGGGTCCGGGGACCCTTTGGGGTTCGTGAAAACATTCTAGGGGTCCGCGAAGCGCTGGCTCATCAGTCAAGCCCGACAATAAAAGTTGTCTTTTTACGGGTCGAGAAGAGATGTTTCAGTTTTCGGGCGAGTTTTCTTGTGTGTATGTCAATAACAGAGGTCTACTTTACACTAGCCCTTAGTTATATCCATTTATTAAATTTTTATTACATTTAACTAATACTTTTCCCTTCCCTTCATCACGAACAGGGTCCTCCATCATCTCCGCCGATCCACAAGGGGTTCGCGAAAGATCAATGGTTGAGAACCACTGAGCTAACACATAAAAAAAGCAAAAAGTAACATAACATTTAGGTGCATACAAAGATTTAAAAAGAAAAAGGTATCAGAATTTACAATCTAGTGCATCCCAAAGTTCAAAAACTGCCACGAAAAACAACCAGAAAGAATGCAATGTTTCAACCATATATTTTGCATTGGGTATCGAACGGGACTGGGGAGTGGAGAATAAAATGCAAAATTCGATTGAGGAGAGAACACACTGTCTGAGTTAGTATGACAAACTGAAAAAGGTCACCAGTTATCATTAAAAAAACCAGGGACAAAAAAGTGGGAGGTAGTTGCAGAAAAAGTAAATAGGATCAAATCAAACCACGCTTGAAGCTGAAGAGGCAATGGCTGATCATGAAGAAAAAAACAGGGTGAGCAAGCCACCGACAAGGACCTTGATAGAAAACATTCGCCGATGCTCAGCTGGTGCACGCTCTTCAGTAAACATGGCCCAACATCATTCATTTTTCCACAAACTAATTACAAGTAAAAATATTCCTCCATAAAACTAAAAAGCGGGTTAAAGGAAAATATGAATGTGGAAAGAACTTACCACACCCTCTTCGTCACCGTGCATGTAGTGAATAATATGGCCACTTTCCTTGTCCCAAAGGTAGACATAGCCACAATCACTGCCACTTATGACATACTCGCTTCGGAGGCCGAAATAGTTGACTCCTTTGACTATTTTCACCATGTTGAAAAAAAGACAATGAAAACAAATGAACACACATAACTGCTATAACTTGAGCCAAATATAAAGTGGATTTTATATTCCTATGTTGCTACAGAATAAATGATAAGCATTAGATAACAAGTAGTGTGATACTACCTAATGCCTAATGGGTAACAGATAACCTAATTACCTGACTGGGGGAGGGGGGGGGGGGCAAGAGAAAAGGCAAGCTTTGCTACTATTCAGTTCCCTGTACCAATGAACATTTTTCTGAAGTTCTTTATTTAGTTAAATAAACAAGTGTCTTACTTCTTCATCTTTAGACAAAACCGAAGCATGCCAAATATAGTAATACAGAAAGATGCCGAACAAATGTCTGCGTGAACAGAATGGATTGACAGATGGAAGCACAGAAAGAGCTTTAAATTTACTTTACCAAAGGAAACATTTTTAGTACCGTAGTATTCTGAGAGATAGCCGATCTAAAATCGAAAGCATACTGGGAGAAAATGAGGAGCACGTTAACTTTCAAAGTGAAATAAAAAAAAGCAAAAAAAAATGCTAGTTTTAGATTTTGAGTTTCAAAACTTGTGATTGCAGGGATTAAAGATGACTGCCCTTCCTAGTCAGCAACGTTCGCTTATCTCCTACTGTGGCTAAGTAACACCATTTCTGCTGAGGTCACGATTGGCCAGGGCCCTCCAATTACTAAAAGTAGACTACCTTTTGGTGTTTTTGAAAAAAAAAAGAAAATCATGCCAAAAAATTGTAGAGCCCTTCCACTTCACGTGAAGATAGAAGACCAGCGAAGCTGTTATTTTTACGACGTCTAGGATGACCTTAAGGATGACTTTTAAGACGACGTCAAGGACGACGCCTAGGACGACTTCTAGGACAACATCGAGGACCACCTCAAGGACGACCTTGAGGACGATGCCTAGGACGATTTATAGGGCGACCTTGAGGAAGACCTCGAGGACGACACCGAGAGTATAACCTCTCGGACGTATTCTAGGACGACCTCGAGGACGACTTCTAGGACGATGCCCAGGACGACCTCTCATACGACAACGCCTAAGTCAACCTCAAGGATGACCTCTCAGACGACCTCTCGGACGACTTCTAACACAACCTTGAGGACAATGCCTAGAGATGATAACAAGGGATCAGGACGTCACTATCTAGTAATGCCAATAAAGGCTGACTCATGCTATAGTCTGTGTAGTTCGTTATTATTATAATAATAATAATAATAATAATAATAATAATAATAATAATAATAATAATAATAATAATAGTTTATTTTCCCAGTGCCCCAGAACAACCGTGAGGTTTGGTATAGTGGCACAAATGTGCACGATTGGATAAAAGAGATTCAGCAGTATCTCATGGAGACACCTGTCCTATACATGGTACAGTGCATAGTCAAGATTGCGCTTGTACAATCACTGAAAACGTCCAAAGTTGGCGAGTTAACATTGTTCAGAGATTTGCATTGTAAGACGGGACGGGGAGGAAGCAGACAGAGCGCTGAAGAGAGGAGGTTTCCCCCTCTTTTTTTCCAGCGTTTCGTCTCCTTCCTCCTCCCCGGCCCGTCTTACTCTCGCCCTTCGTTCTTGAGTTGCAACAAACTATAGTTGACCCCCCCCCCCCTTTTTTTTTTATTTATACTTGCCACGACCAATGGGGAGTTTTCTGCCAACACCTGCGGACGCATCTTTCCTTAGATCCTAGCGCATAACAGCTTCGCTGTAAAATAGGGGTATGTTATCTCTCGGGGATGCGGCATCTCTCGGGATATTACGGCATGTATATCTTTATAAAATGTGTTATGTATTTCTTTAAATTTCTTCCATTCGCTCAGCACTCATTTCGCAACTATGCACACAGATTGCCACAAAAATGGGATGCGAGGCTTCATTGAGAAAAAATGACAGGACGTTAAAACTGCAGCTCTAAAACGGGACTGTCCTGGCCAAAACGGGATGTCTGGTCACCCTAATAATAAAGAGGTTAAACAGTGAAAGACGTTTACAATCCCCTGTAATGTCGAAGTAGAGCACAGCTCTTGAGGAGGAGGAGGGGAAGGCACGGAGAGGTGGCTATGCGCCTCCTCCTCTCCTCCCATTTAGGGGAAAATTTTCCGCTAAATTTAGCGGGGAATTTTTTCCGCTAAATTTGGCAGGGAAAATTTTCTGCTAAATTTGGTGGGGAAATCTACCCATAATGCACCACGCGGTTACGCCGACGCCGCTCAAGCCGGAAACGGGCGCCTAAGAGCTGCGCTCTAAAATCCATCACAAACGTCACAAGTGTGGTTTGTGCGGGCCACCCCCATTCTGCGCTCGCTAGACTTAGTCAGCATAATCTAGCCTGTATAATTTTATTAAAATTCAAAGTATGTTTGATTTAAAGCATTTTGCTGTCCCTGTGAGCTTCGAATTATCAAGAGTCGACTTTACTTGGAAAAGACCCCATTTTCCTTAAAAAGGGCGACTCCTGTCCACAGTTCTGATTTTGGGATTACGAATGTTTTTAGCACAGTCAGCGTCACTGAATTACAACATGTAGTTTTTTTCTTGGTATTGTGCATAGTTTTAAAGATATCGACGCCTCAAAGTTTTGTTTGTGGCGTGGTCGACAGAACCGAAACTAGCTGCTCGAGGCCCCGGCAACACTGGAAATCAGCCGCTAGGCGGATGAGACATCATGGTCGTTCTCGTTCAACGAGTACGCCGTCCAGAGCCGTTTATACTGAAAGAGTTTGGCCAATGGCCGGAGCGTGCTGCCCGCTAGAACCAGCAGATTTCGCGATAACACAAATTGGCGCTACTTCTTTGTCTTGTTTATTTCTGACAATCGCATAGAGTTCCTATGAGTCAGAGCCACAAAATGGCAGACGGAAGTAGTCACTCCCCGGCTGTCAGACTACGCTGCTGTAATTGCCAGGCTTTGTCAGTGTAAACGGATTTGACGCGGTCCAAGCAGCACCCATTTCTGCAGCGCTAGCCATTCAAAGATAAAAGGTAAGCTGCTTTTGTTTTAATTCTGTATACGTGGTAGATATCCAGCATATGTAGCAAGAGTTAGTGCGTATACCCAAAAGCTAGCGACTGGCAGGAGAGTGAACTCGTTCGGCATTGGTGTAGGGCGCTGATCTCACTACCCCTCCGCTTCGGCTACGGTAGTGGTTATGGTGTATGCCAAAATCAATACCGTGGTTGTTTATTTCGCCAGAACGGCGGAAGTAACTTTCTGCGGCAAAATACCCTGATGGTTTGTTGTTCTTTGTATGAGCGGTAGAATGCGCGCGTGGCAGGCGTTGATTAACTTTGTACCTGGGGACCGTCGCCCAGCCTGCGCTCGTCCGTACTCGTCTCTAAACCTAAATTGTCATCGGAATACCGTGGATGGAGCGGCAATGCTCCACGTTGCGCTGCCAGTGACGTACAGTACTCGGGGGCCGTCACCATGCGTGCGCTTGTCCGTACTCGCTTTCGCGCTGGGGGACAGTCCACACACAAAGCTTTGGGACTTTCCGGCGCGGGCCGCGGCGCCCGAACACACGTGCGCTGGACTGTATACGTTTGTTTTTCTACCTCAGGCGCATAAAACGCGAATTTGTAAGCTACGACACTGTAATTTACCACATAAGTTTGTCTAGGTGGTGGATTTAATTTGTGGAAATATCAAAAAAGAGGCTTGCTGCACTCAAAAGTTACAAAACAAAAAACAAAAAAATCTTGTGATTGTAACTAGTTAGTGGTTGTAGTCTACGTGTTCACCATTCCCTATTCAACAGAGCGTGGATGCTCCATGTTCAACACTGCACTCGACACTGCACTTTATTGGTCTGGATACTTTTATCATGTTTACCTTTTGTGTACGACATGCCACTTATTAATGCGAAGTTCAGTGCTATGTTGACTGCATGTTATACCTTACATCTTCACTGTGGTTCGGCTGGAATCATCCTTTTCACTAATTTAATGCAGGACGTATATTGACAACCCACAAATGTTGCTTTTTTATCCCTGCCACATTTCTTCATATGGGATAAATAAAGCATTTGATCTTGAATCCCAGCATCAAGGTGGTGTGCCAATTTCCAAACTGTCCAAGCTTCTTCCTTTAGGGGCGAAGCTCCTTAGGGTCTAGCCTTGTCCGTCTGGCATCCGTGTTCACATCGATCTTGCTGTTGCTTGTGCTCGTGAGCTCATGTGCACGTAAGCACGTGCTCGTGTAGGGCAAAAAAAAAAAAAAAAAAAGAAGAAATGTTTGCGCAGTCGACAGGATCGAACCTGTGGGGGGAGACCCCAATGGATTTCTAGTCCACTGCCTTAAAGGGGCCATGAAACGAATTTTGGGTTGGGATGAATGATTTTAAATTGGGACTTTACCAATCGCATATCGTTTAGTTGGCCAAAAGAAAGAGGCTAGAAAGTCAAAAGCCAGCTTTTCAGTATGAACATTTGAAAATATAGCAGACTATTTTGTACCTTCTCGCCTTCGAAAGCTCTCCGCCTTTTATGATACATCCGCGGTTCCAAAAGCGCGTCACCGGCGTCAAACTGACGTCAGCAGAGCCCAGCTCACGCACTGGACACGAGAACTGCGTCACTCGGACGTATGCGCTCGTCAACAATCAATCCGTCGACGAATATTTGGATTCGCATTCGTAACCAATGAGTGCCCTGACGGAACTTATTGTCACTGGGGAATGACAAGTTCTATGGTGTGCATAAAAAGCACGGTGGAAGCTAGGAGTCATCGCACCGGTGCCGAAGGAATGTCACGACCACGTGATTTCACAATTCGCATTTGAGTTGAGGATTAAAGCTAAGGAGGAAGAAGTAGGAAAACCATTTCATGACTTCTTTAACCGCCCGGCCACGACTGCGGGACGAGTAGGGGGCTCTGAGATGTGGTAGTAACTCAAGAGCTGGGGATGTTATGGATGAAACGTTGCATGAAGCCGCTCAACGTCTATACAGAAGATAGCGCAGCGGTCAAATGCGTATATAATCGCGTTAAACTTTGCATGCATTGGCTCAACGTTTATAGATGAGAGGGCGCTGCGGTCAAATGCTCGAATGCGAATATAACCACGTTCCATACCACACATTCTCTTTCTGACATGGATGAAAACGAACGAAAGGCTCGGCATGCTGCGGCTCAGCGTTTACGCAGACAAGCACCACCAAAGCTTCTTCCCAATCAACATCATTCATCACGTGGAAATGCGGTCATTTTTTTTCAGTAGACGCGTTGTTTAGAGAAGACATCAAAGAGGACAATAGCTGGAGCCTTAACCCATATGCACATGACCCACTACCACCTGCTGACAAACTTCGCAGGGAGAGTGCTTCTGTCTGACACCATGATGCGTGCAAGTGCGCACCGAGCTGCTCGCTAAAACGAGCCTTGGTGTCCTCACAAGCAAATAAACAAAAGGCTATATCAAAGCTACACGGGCTACAGATAAAAGCAACGGCTAAACATGTCAATCACCAGCCGAAGTAGTGGCAGTAGCGTCTCAAACAAGCGCACTTTACGCTACTCGACCACGCAACGGGTAAGCCCCTCCGGACCGGGGGAAAAAAGAGAATGACCATGACGTCATGGCCCAAGATTGCTTTAGCGATCGGCAACCCGCTAGCGTCCCGCTAAGGAGCGGCTGCTCGTAGCGGGTCGCATTTTTTTTATCGGCATTAGTTGGGAAGGCGGCATCCCCTTGACGTAATATTTTGGCTAGGGTCGCATTTTGTGTCACTAAAGCTAAACCAGTAATTTATTTCCTTTTGAATTTTGGCCGGAGTTGCCCTATAAGGGGGGACACTGGTTAGAGGTTGAACTTCTGAACTACTCAAGTAATCGGAGTGAAATTTGCAGGGGAGATTTAACTTCAGATGAAGGGGTACTATGCAAACTTTCAGATCTCAAGGACAAATCTACATACCTGCATAAGAAGATGTGTCGCTCTTCGTTAAGAAATCTATGTATGCAAATGAAGCTATTAAGCATCATTTTAACTGCTTGAATATAAAGTGGGGGATGTCTGACTTCGGGCTATCTAGTTTTTATCACTCAAATGTAGATATTTCAAGAAGAGTGACTACCTCGGAATATGAGATGCATATCTGTCTTAACCCCTTAAGTGCCTTGGACGAGCCGAGATCGTCGGCCACTTCCTGGCTAAAAATGCCGTGGACGAGCTCAGCTCGTCCAGTGGTTTTTTCGGTTGCCCTCGATTCCATGGACGAGATAAGCTCGTCCAAGTAGTTTTGCGGCGTTGATCATAGATGGCAGCACTCGTATTAGCAGGCAAATATATTTTTTGCCTCCGCTGATTTTTCCGTAATGAACTTTTCAAATTTGATGTGTAATACTAGAGGAGCAACAATTCAAAATAAAAAAAAATCTGCCACTTTTAGGTTACTTTTTGAAAACATAGCTTTTTCTCAATGAGAACTTTAACTTAAAACAAAATAAAGTAGATAGCCCGATTCCCCAATAAATTTCAGTTAAGAAATATCTTGATTGTGGTATCAGAATAATTTTACCCTCAAAAAAAAGATTCCTTCGTATGAAATATGCAGCAAAAAGTGGAACTGAGAAAAATGCATTCAAACATTGAACTCTTTTACTTTGTTAGTGCCTCACAATATGTTGAAAATATTTTATATAAACATAACTATTTGGCGCATGGCTATGAAATTTAGTGTAAGGGTGGATAATTAGTTTCTAAAACCAAAAACCTCAAAATTGAAAAATGAATTTTTTAAAAAACTTCTGAAACTTAGGCTCATGTTCGGAGGGGACATGGGAATAAATTTCAAAGTTGTTCTTTAAAATTAATTTTTCAAATTTGTGGTTTTCAGTTTTAGAATTTAATTATACACCCTTATACTAAATTTGATAAACATATGCCAAATAGTTAAATTAATATAAAATATTTTCGACACATGTGAGGCAGTAACAGAGTAAACAAGTTCAATGTTCGAATGCATTTTTCTCAGTTCCACTTTTTGCTACAAATTTCATACGAATCAATCTTTTGTTCGAAGGTAAAAGTATTCTGATACCAGAATTAAGATGTTTCCTAACTGAAATTTACTGGGGAATGGGGCTATCTACTTTATTTTGTGTTAAGTTGATATCCTCATTGAGAAAAAGCTATGTTTTCAAAAACTGACATAGGGGAGATATGCATCTCATCTTTTGAGGTAATGACTCTTCCTGAAATATTTACATTTGAGTTATAAAAGCGAGATAGCTCGAAGTCCTACAGCCCCCACTTTATATTCAAGCAGTCGAAATGGTGCTTAACAACTTCATTTGCATATCATACATTTCTTAACGAAGAGTAACACATCTTCTTATTCAGGTATGTTATATCTCCCCAGCAAATATCATTCCGATCACTTGAGTAGTCGAGAAGTTAAATCTCTAGCCAGAGACCCCCTTAAAAAGATTCTTAGCGTTTGTTTGTTTTGTTTTTGTCTTCAGAAACACCCAGTTTTGTTACTAAAGTATTGTGAAGATTTTCAATTACATATATTTTTATTGTGCGGTAAGGTAACGAAATCCTGAAACTATGCCAGACCTGCCTGCTAGAGGATATGAAGGTATGGTACCAACGCGTTCAAATGAGGCAAGCAACAAGTGAAAGATCCAGCCTGAAGCTCACCTGTCTGGCTGTTCCTGTGTCCTTTATACCTGTGCACAAATTCTGCACCATCAGAATGGGACGAATTGAAGATGTAGATGTCCTCGTCATTGTAGGATGCCAGAATTTCTTGAGAAAGGGAATAACAATCCACCATAGAGCAAACAGCTAAAAAAGAGCACTAAAAAACCGGTGGAGCCAAACTACGCCACATTACAAGAAGAGAAAAAACTTGCCAGAGCCGTCAAAGTTGTAAACCAAACAGGAGACACTTGCTCGCACATCGCTGTTAAGCTGAAATGTCAATGACTCCATCAGCGCAAGGCACACAGACGCACAAGAAATCTTTTTTTGCACAAGTGCAAAATTAATTTTTATGTGAAATAAGCGTTGTACACTGCCAGATAGCACCGTGACAAAGTATTATTTTGTAATGGCATCATTATGGTGCTTTCTATGGCTATGGATGCGGTAGGTGCAAAAGGAGTGTGTACCAGATGATGAGGGCAAAATTTCTTCATTGGATTAGACTCTTCGCTCGTGAACCTTCGGTCATACACTCTGAAAGAAGGAAGAACCCCATCCTCTTGAGCAATCGTCGTTAGGCCTAGATACACAGGCTCTAGACAGCTGCAATCGAAAGCTCGCTCCACTTGCAAGAGCAGAAAATGTGTGCCAATGCAAGTCTAGAGTGTCTTGAGACAGTCTTACCTCACGTAGTGATCTCTTCCGCCGACGGCAAACTCGTTTGCATTTGCGGGATTAATAAATATGGTATAGAGGGGCACCTTCTTGTCATTTTCCTTCACCAAGACTAGTCTAGAACAAAAAGGGAAAAAACAAAAACCACTAGAGTTTTCTGTGGAGGACACATTTATAGCGGCTGATGCTATGCATTCATAATTTAGACAGTGAGATTGCTCGCTTTATAAATTAATTTAACTTGTTTCCCGCTTCCCTCCCGACTTTCGCGTGAGGACAAATCGAAGAAAAAATATGGCTGAGAACTTGAAAACAAACAAGCAATGCAGACGCAATCTCCAAATGAAGTTCGACTAAAGCAGCCAGCTGCCAAGACAGGAAAACAAACAAGCAATGCAGACACAATCTCCAAATGAAGTTCGACTAAAGCAGCCAGCTGCCAAGACAGGAAGATATCTGTAGTGCAGTCGTGACCATTTATCACGAAGTCGGTTACAACTAAATAGCAGCTATAGAGAAGCGATCACGATTTCCCATTCTCGTTTGCCCTTTTTTAATGTATTTGTACCCATTTTCAGCGAAGGAAAATGAGCGGCTCCCGCAGATATATTGAAGCAAAATTTTCAGATAATTTAAAAAATAATCAAAATCGGAAAGTTTATTAAGTCGCAAACCGCCACGCTTTGCTGCCGCAGCTGAGCAGCCACCCAGAACGGGCCGCAGACGTGCCCTGCAAAGGCTGCCGGCGGCAGCCTCTGCATTGTTGTCCACTCTCTGCTTTTTATCTGGGAAGCGGCTTTTCCACATTGCATGCGGAGCAGCCGTTGTAGCGTGCTGACAGGGGCATTCGGAGCGTTAGCGGCAACGTACCGATACATACCAACAGCGACAACGGAGGGAGCCTAGATTTAAGAGAGGGCACAACTCCAACCCCGAAGAGCATTTGCAATTTAATGGCGGACGCCTCCCGGGCAAATTGGCGCAAGTGCACCTGCATGTCTCGTGGCCACCATGGCGAGGAAGCTGGGGGGAGAGGCAGACACGTTTGCAGACGGTGAATGCTTTCGACTCCTTGCAGGCTGCAGCTCCTTTTACAAACGCGGCCCACAAACCATATGACACCGATCGAGCGGTTGCTCTCTCTTAAATCTAGGCTCTCTATAGCGACAAAACACAAACTTGTGCACGAGCTCAGTGGTGTGCACGTTTTTTTGTTTGCTTCATGTTCCGTGTCGGCGTCGCTAGTCAGTGTGGTTGCTCTCCGCGCGAAAGTCTAGTTTTGCTCAAGCACCGATTCGGCAACTCATCGCCACTCAACGATGGCGAGTCCCGGTATGGCTGGCACCTCGACGGGCAAGACGAAGGCAATCTCCTTAAAACAAAACTGTGCGCCATCCTTGACGAAGTGTGCATAAATGTAAAGAATGACGTCCACAGCCAGCAATCTCTGCGGCGCCGTTGCAGCTGGTGACGCGCTCCATATGTAGCTCCTTTTTTGCACGTTACTTTTATAGAGTTTAGATATAATGAAGAAGTGTATATAGCAAAGTGGTTTGAGGTTCCCCTTGACTTTATTATAACTGGTCTCGACAGTATGTGTTGTTTTAGGGGTGAAGCTCCTTAGGGTCTAGCCTTGTCCGTCCGGCGTCCATGCTCACATTGATCTTGCTGGTGCTCGTGCTCGTAAGCTCACGTGCCCATGTAGGGAAAAAAAAATAAAAAATAAGAAAAAAAATGTTTGCGCAGTTGACAGGAATTGAACCTGTGCAGGGAGACCCCAACGAATTTCGAGTCCATCGCCTTAACCACTCGGCCACGACTGCGGGACGAGTAGGGGGCTCTGAGATGGGGTAGTAACTCAAGAGCTGGGGATGTCATGGATGAAACGGTGTATGTAGCCGCTCAACGTCTATACAGGAGGGGGCGCTGCAGTAAATGCGTATATATTCGCGTTAAACTTTACATGCATCGGCTCAACGTTTATAGGCGAGAGGGCGCTGCGGTCAAATGCTCAAATGCGTATATAACTACGTTCCATACCACACATTCTCTTTCTGACATGGATGAAAACGAACGAAAGGCTCGGCATGCTGCGGCTCAGTGCCTACGCAGACAAGCACCACCAGAGCTTCGCCCCGATCAACATCCTTCACCACGTGGAGATGCGGTCAATCTTTTTTTAATTTGAAGCATCCAATACGATCGTGAAATATTTATGCTACCATTTCTAGCCAATTTTCAGATGAAACCTGTATAAGTAATAACTGCCAATAATCAAATGCTGCAGTCACCTGCTTGACAATGTCACTGTAATACCCACGGAAGAATATCTGCAATTCTTTCATAATCTACCTTATACCATAATTATTAGATTCTAAGAATTTACCCACTTAGCTTCCATCTCCGTATTGTGTGCAAAAATGTGTTTCGGCTGAAACATGTGCCTCTGTACAAGTGATCTGTGGCTCACTGAAGCCACGCACTTTGTCTTTCAAATGTGATCAAAAGTATATGGTGCAAACATTTCTATTTGTATAGGATGACTGGTGATGCAGAACACATCTATGTTCAACCAAAGTTCTGAACCAATTAAGTTGTTGGAGACAGCAAGACAGTGCAGAGAAGAGAAAGAGAAACATACTTTTCAGGAGTGCTTTTCCTCAGGTCGATCCCAAAGACGTAGGCATCCTCTCCGCAACTCAGTACAGTATGTGGTGAGTCACTCTCAATGGCAAGCTGCAATGAACACCCGACAAGGTTTGTTCCATGAGCAAAACTGCAGCTTTAATAAGACAGGAAGAAAGACAACAAAACCAACAGAACTATACAACAATCAAACTCGTTTATAACAAACTCGAATATAGCGATTTTTGTCTATATCGAACTCCCAAATTTTTCGAACGAAAATGCACGTAAAAAGTACTTTTCCTAATGAAGAGTTCAATGGCTATATCGAACTTTGTCACCGTGTGCGGCCTTTAAAAAAATGCATGAATGCCCATCCCCCAGCATGTTCGTTCTAAAAAAAGAAAAAAGGAAAGAAAAATTTCCAAACCACAAGCCACGAACAAAGATAGCATAGCCAGACCTACAGAAGGGGAAATAAGAGAGACAAGTTGAAAGGACAAATGGAATGATACATGCTTGGGAGGGTGAGGATTTCCCAAGATTCTGTTCTCCTTACTTAATCTGATCTAAATCTGTTGCACAACCTAAAATCATCCCCTCCTCCCCAAGCACCAAGTGAACTGCACGGCAAGATTCAACAGCCGCGATATGTCAGCCGGCGCAAACCGGCGTGACTGAGCTCGTGAAAGGCACACTTGTTTTCTCCCTGCAATCCACCTTGAAGCTTAGTCGACCAGCACCTGTTTCCGTGCACGCTTTGTTGGTAGCTTACTTTTTTGTTTGAATGCTGTGTGCCCCTGTGTACCCCCTGTGTGCTCACAAGAAATGACGATCAAGCAGCGGCAGTTTCTACCGTTTTTGGACAAGCTGAGCATAATTTGTCACGTCAAGAACAGTGAAAAGAAGTCGGATGTTGCCACAGCGTACAACATTCCCATAAGTATGTTCAGTACCATACTCAAGAACAAGGCAGCCATCTGTCAAAAGTCCCGGAATTGATTGAACGCTGTTGGGAAGCAGCTGCGAGAACCCGCGTTTGATAAGGTGGAGAAGGCGCTCTATGCGTGGTTCCTCGAGATCTGTGCTCAGAACCTCCCAGTTTCCAGCCCCATTAACATAAAAGAATGAAAATGGTTCTAAAACCCGCCCGGTACCTCTTTTGCAGCAATGCAGACCCTGCAACTCAATAAATGAATTTGCCTCTGCACCCTTTTAAACAAGTGCAAGCTTGCGCCCTCCAGCGTCATCCGAGACAAGCTAAGAAGAATAGACAGTCTTCTCCCTTAAGGGGGGAGGCTGGTCTTTAACTTTTTGTTTTTTATTTTTCATCTATCAAGCTGAAATTCAGTATACTGATGTATTTCTTATAGTGGTGATTTCAAATATGCAATTAATTTTCAGATAGCTTAACTAGATCCTGAGTTATTAACAAATTTGTAATTTTAATTAGGTCCTCCTTACGGGCCGTTACCATAAGATTGTTCAGAATATATCACAATTTTTGATAGAATTACATTCACCAAGACATGTTTTGTGCGGTGATGCTATTTTAAGCCTAATCTAATGATATTATATTCGTAGAAAACATTTAAAATGAAGTTGCACAAAATGGGAGGTTATGTCTTTTTTAGATTAATTAATTAAAATTATTGTATGAAATATAAAGGAACAAAAATAGCATCACCGCACAAAACATGTCTTGGTTAATGCAATTCTATAAAAAAATTCTGATAGATTCTAAAGAATTTTACGCTAACGACCCGTAAAGAGAACCTAATTAAAATGGCAAATTTATTAATAACTCATGATTTCATAAAGCTATCTGAAAACTAATTGCACATTTGAAATCACTACTGATAAATACATTAGTATCCTGAATTTCAGCACGATAAATGAAAGATAAAAAACACAAAGTTAAAGACCAGCCTCCCCCCTTAAGTGGTGGCACCACGGATCTTCACTTTTTATTGAAAGGCAGAGTGTGGTTTTTGGTAGCTCCGTGGCCGCATTAGGCGTGTTGTGGACTTTGTAGAGCCCTTGAGTCTACTTGTCAACCCTTTTGGATCCGCGGCATCCACATCCGTTCCCGCGAGTTGTACCGCGCAACTTTTCCCCAAGTGGACTGGCGTGTGTGGCGTCGCAAAGAAAGCTCTACAACTTCTGCTATACAAGTCGCAGGTGAACACTTTTTACTTATTTTGTTTGGGAATAATTTCCAGAAGCAATTCGCTCAGAGTATCTTGCGAGTGTGGAAGGTCTTGAAGCAGACAGGCATGTGAAGTGCCACTTCACATTTCTCGCCACTCCCAGCAGCTCTCGCTCTTCTTCCCCTGGGCCTCACATACATGACATTGTCTGGATGGATTCTGCTTGATTGCATTCGGTAGGATCTGGCAAGGGAAGTGAGCCCACTCACAGGACTATAGCCGCATCGGTGAGGCATCAATGGGCGATTTGCCTCGTCGCCAATATCCCGGCAACACAGCCTCTTCGATCAGTTGTTCCGCCAGGTCCACTTTCCAGTCCGTATAGCTCACTCACTTGCCTGCAATCTTGGCGGAGAGGATGTAGCTATTATAAACAGCGATGTCCATGGTGTAAAAAAATATCTTCTTGTAGCCCTTTGCGTACCTTCGCATTATAGGAAAGGAAGCCAACTGTTGGTCTTCCCGATCCACACCTCTCATTCCTCGGTTGTAGTCCTGGACAACCTGGGGCTTCAAAACAGGCAGGTCACTCTGGCACTGTCTCTTGCCGGTGTCAATCACATTGGCTGTGGTGTGACATGTCGAGAGCAGGTTGACAGGCTTCTTGTCTTGCCATGTCAGGGCCATAATGTCGTGCGAAAAGAAGGTCTTGCACTCGCTTTTTTTCAGCTTGATATTTTTTACCTCCTTGGGCATGTTCTTACGGTGCACCCTAATAGCACCCACAGCGTTTGATCCAGCTTGGTGTATGTGAAGGAACAGGAGCGGTGAGGAGTACCAATTGTCCATGTAGACTGTGTGGCCGTCTGCAAGACGATCGCCGACAAGGTTGATGACGACGGCCTCACTGCACAACATTCCGATGGTAGCAGGAGTTTGCTCACTTCTTCCTGTGTAGACAGAGAACTTCAGACAGTAGCCACTCCAATATTCACATAGCTTGTTGAATTTCACGCCAAAACGGGCTCGTTTTGAGGGGTTGAACTGGACGTATGAGAGACAACCACGAAATTTCATCAAACTTTCATCCACAGTGAGACCTTCTTCTGGAAAGTAGGCACTGCCAATGGACTTGATGATGTAGTCCAGTACAGGCTGTAGCTTCCTCTGCTTGTTATCACTTGCTGGAAGGTTGTTGTCAGAGAGATGTAGATATCGGGACAGTGCCCAGAAACGTTGTCTGGGTATCACCATCCCGAAAAATGGTGTGTTGATGACATTTCTTTTGGACCAATATGCCTGGATACTGCTCTTCTTTACTTTACTCACTAGTACACAGAAAGCGAAGTAGGCTTTCATCTCCACCGGTGTCGTGTCATGCCATGTAGAGTCCAACTTGGAAGACTGCTTCTCCTTTGCATAAGTGTTGGTGTGCCTTGCAATCATGTCCCAAAAATCATCTTCGAGGAGAGCGTTGAAGATGCCCAAAGGACTGGGACTTTCACCCACTTTCAGTCGGATGGCTCGCTTGACACATGGACTTCCACTAAACGACAGTTTGATGACATTTTCTGAACTGTCTTCTTCCTCCCACTGCCAATCTTCATGTCTAGGCTTCTTTGATGGTGGTGGGGAGGAAATAGAAGTGTCTTGTGATACACACACATCGCCTTCACAGTCACTGCCACTCTCACCGTCACTCTCGTCGTCGCTACTTTCTTGGTCCGACATATTTTCTAGATCGTCGCCACAGTCACTTTCATCATCACTCTCAAACACCAGCTCGAGGATTTCCTCACATGTGAGCGCTTTCTTCTTTCGCGACGCCATGCTTGGGATGTGGCGAAAGAATCGACAGAGAAAACAAAGTTGCACACTTTTTCTTTTTCTAAACAACCCAAGCTCAAAAATAGTGGACAACTATGTCCATCTGGTGTGAAAAAGACAAAACAACAAGAAACCAGTGTGCAGGGAAGCGCCATCTATTGGGGCTTTTTAAAAACAATATGTTTTTAGGAGGACGGCGATCCGCTGTCTTCTCGCACTTTAGCCTTGGCGGAAGCGGCCGGCGGATCACCGGCTTTGGAAGCGAATGGGTTTACATTGGTGTGTCAAAAGCTAAAGCACATGTAGCGCGCGCTGTGCACTGTCGTTCAACCGGCGATTTTCTCGGGTTGCAGCGTTTCTGTAAGCACCACTCTTTTACAGCGGAGCTGTTAAGGGCTAGTTTCTTCAGAATCATGTCCGCCAGCAAATAAATGTCGACACAACACTCCGGACAGCTACCGCCATCTATGAGCGACGGCGGCAACCAGACAACCGGCTTGTCTTTTGTCTGGTTGCCGCTGTTGCTCATAAATGGCCCGGCAACCTGTTCAGCCTTTTCACTCTGGCTTGCCGACTTGCAGCCGGCCATTACTTCATTCCCACCATAGTGCAGTTTCGCTGGTCTCCTTTCTTCACCAGAGTGGAAAGGCCGAAAGTTTTTCGTTTCATACTCCTGCCCATACTAGACATGACGCATTTGTGCATGGTCCAACGGCTTTCTTACGATTTTGGCATCTTAAAAGAGAAACTACATTGCTTTAGTGTGATGCAACACTAAGCCCTGACGGAAGAGCATAAGCATACCCAAATCTTTCAGGCTCATTCCAGACTGGCGTGCATTTCACCGTTTCCTAAGCAAGAAGGGGATGAATGAGCTCTCCCTTCCCGCACAAGCTGGAGTGCTCCAATTCGAAGGACGTTCTCGCAGAATTAACTGTTGTACAAATGTTGGCTATCGTCCCATCTATAAGCCCGCCGATAGCATTACAGTTAGTTTTTCCATATTCTAGACTTTGTAGGACACCAGAAGGCAGTGTACCAAGTGGTGTCTGTTGTACATTCAGTGTTACATTGAGTATTTCGAACTCCTGTTCTTGAAATTCGCTTGATGAGAGTTTTGATATAACAAACTAC